CAATAAATCAAAAATCAGCCGGGCATGGTAGCGCGCACCTGTAATTCTGGCTACTCGGAAAGCTGAGGCGGAAGGATCGCCGGAGCCCAGTGGGTCAAGGCTGCGGTGGCCGAGAGCGGCACTGTACTCCAGTCTGGGTGATGGAGTGAAACTCCAACTCAAAAAAAAAAAAAAAGAAAGAAAGCACCCTGGTACATGGTCACTGCCTGAGACGTGGAAGCCCTGATTCTTACTTGGGGGCCTTTTGTTCCTTTTTGAGTCCCTTGCATTTTAGGTCCCGATTCATCTCACCATAGAACCCTTAGCCCAGGGGCCCTCTCGTTGACACAAGTCACCCCCCAGCCCTGATTCCTTCCTAGCCATGTGCCAGACTGGGGGACCCCAAGGTTGGGGAAATTTTATTTTTCTTTTTTTTTGAGTTGGAGTCTCACTCTGTCGCCCAGACTGGAGTGCAGTGGCCACTCGGTCACCGCAGCCTCGACCTGCTGAGCTCCGGCGATCCTGCCTCAGCCTTCCGAGTAACCGGAATTACAGGCGCGTGCTACCACGCCTGGCTGATTTTTTTTTTTTTTTTTTTTTTTTTTAATTTACTGTAGCGATGAGGTCTCTCCAAGTTGCACCAGGCGGGTCTCGAACCCGCAGGTTCAGGCAATCCACTCACCTCAGCCTCCCAGGGCACGGGATTACAGGCTGAGCCACCGAGCCCGGCTGGTTGGGGGAATTTTAAGGGGTGAACCCACTCTCCCCTCTAGGGCGGTGCCAAGGAGCTATCCCCTGCCACCTTGGAGAAAAGGCGCCGGAGAAAGCTGGAGCGGGACCGGAAGAAGCGGAAGCGAAAGGAACTGCGCACCAAGGAGAAGGTGGCACAGGTCGTGGATGCTGGGGAGGCTGCCGCACCCACTCCTGACGAGACCCCCAAGGAGTCACAGGAGCCGCCGGGGCTAATCTTCAACAAGGTGAGCGGGCTCAGGCGGCCTCAGGCTTGTACCTTTGGGCCCAGCTTTTCCCTTTTGCTAACTGTGGCCTCGGATAAGTGACTTCCCTCTGGACGTGGGTCGCAGATCTGTAAGGTGGTGACAGTGCAGTGCTTGTCCCTTCGGGCACCCTGGAGGGTGGCTGGCTGAGGGTGTGATGCCAGTGAGGCTCTCACGAGCTGACCTTGCCTCTCCCAAGGTGGAGGTGGGTGAGGACGAGCCTGCCAGTAAGGCGCAGCAGAGAAAGGAGAAGAGGCAGAAGGTCAAGGGGAACCTCACCCCGCTAACCGGGAGAAACTACCGGCAGCTGCTGGAGCGGCTGCAGGCGCGGCAGAGCCATCTGGACGAGCTGCGGGACCAGGACGAGGGGAAGGCACAGGAACTGGAGGCCAAGATGAAGTGGACCAACCTGCTGTACAAGGCGGAGGGCGTGAAGATCCGCGACGACGAGCGCCTGCTGCAGGACGCCCTGAAGCGCAAGGAGAAGCGCCGGGCACAGCGCCAGCGCCGCTGGGAGAAACGCACGGCCGGGGTGGTGGAGAAGATGCAGCAGCGCCAGGACCGGCGGCGCCAGAACCTGCGCAAGAAGAAGGCGGCCCGGGCGGAGCGCCGCCTGCAGAAGGCCCGCAAGAAGGGCCGCGTCCTGCCGCAGGACCTGGCGCACGCTGGCCTCGCCTGAGCCCGGGGCTGGGCTGCCTGTCCCGCCTGGGCTGCTGACTGCGCCTGCCCATCTGGACTGCTATCTCTGTCCTGAGGCTCCAGCAGACCCTGCGGTCGAGGGGTGCCGCCACATCCAGGATCTCTAGACCTTGGCTCCACCTCGTGCTGTGGACACACTTGTGCTGACCTCAGAGTTGTGAGAACTCAGATCACACATGTGAAGGAGAATGTTTCAGTGTCATCCTTGAAAACGGGGCTCAGGCCCTTCAGACTCCAGGGAGAGGGTAAGACGGGTCCTGGCTCAGTCTTTGTTCTCTGTGAGCCCAGAAAGCTTCCCAGAGGTGTGCGTGGTTGGGCGGAGGGGCAGTCGCTGACCCTCCTTCCCCTGCCTGTGTTCACAGGGCCACAGGGCAGGAGCCCATGAGTCCAAAACTCACTTGGGAGGACAACCAGAGGTGGGGTGAGCGGGAACCTGGGAGAGCGTGGTGCCCATGCAGGTGTGGGAGCGCCCTGGGCCAATGCCAAGACCTCCTTTCCCGTTCTTGGCTTCTGCCTGCTTTGGTCTTCTTTTCTGTTTCTCACCAGCCCCACGCAACCCTTCACGGCTCAGAGCTCCAAGCGAGGAAGGGAGCTGTTCCTTCCAAGTCTATGGATGTGACGTGGGTCACACGGCCACCTGTTGAGACAGCCACTAGCTCGAGGGCTGTGGAGCAGTGCCTGTGCGTGTCGTGACCCTGCTGGAGTCTTGGAGGAGCAGTTCTTTGGTGGGGGGGGGTAGAAAGGAAAGTTGGCTGTTACCTGATGAGAGGGAATGGGGTGGGGCAGACAGATGTCAGAGGGCTTCTCTCCCAGGTGAGCGCTTGGATGCGGAAGTGGCCAAGTGTGGTTGGTGCTCTCCTAATTGTCTCAGAGGAAGAAAATCGCACTTAGTGGAAATGAGCGCCCCCCCCACGCACGCCGCAGCGGCGCCGCCCCCCCCCTCCCCCGCCAAATACCAGCAGTGCTGAAACACATTAAAAAACAGTGTTAACTGGGCTTGGTGGCTCAGCCTGTAATCTCGTGCCTTTGGGAGGCTGAAGTGAGTGGAGTGCCTGAGCCCACGGGTTCGAGACCCGCCTGGGCAGCGAGACCTCATCTCTACAATAAATCAAAAAATCAGCCGGGCGTGGTAGCGCGCGCCTGTAGTTCCGGCTACTCGGAAGGCTGAGGTGGAAGGATGGCTGGAGCCCAGCAGGTCGAGGCTGCAGTGACCAGGAGCGGCCACTGCACTCCAGTCTGGGTGACAGAGTAAGACTCCAACTCAAAAAAAAAGAGAAACGGTGTTAATCAAATGAACGTAGCGTCACCATGTGGCAGGCAGGACAGTAGAATTGGCTGGTGTAACCATCTACCAAGTGTGATTTGTATTCCTCTTTTGTTATCATTATATATTATTATAATTTTAATACAGTTTTTCCTTTTCTTAAAATATGTATATTTTTTTGGCACCCTCTGTATTTAATAGAATGGGTAGAAGATCCTATGGTATGGCACAACTGAAAATGCTTTATAGAATTTATTTTTATGTATATTTGAATTGAGAGGTTCTCTGTTGTCCAGTCTGGAGTGCAGTGGCACAGTCACAGGTCACTGCAGCCTCAACCTCCTTTACTCGGGTGATCCTTCTGCTCCATCCTCCCCAGTAGCTGGGACTACAGGCGCACGCCACCACGCCCAGCTCATTAAAACATTTTTTTTTTATAGAGATGAGGTTTTGCTATGTTATCCAGGCTGGTCTTGAACTCCTGGGCTCAAATGATCTGCCCTCTTTGAAGTGCTGGGATTACAGGTGTGAGCCACCATGCCCAGCCTAGAATTTATCTGTTTAGTGAATGATTTAGTTGGTGGGAAATGGAGAGATGACTGAGCTATTTTCTACGTTTGGTGAAAGATGAATCTTGAGATTTGGGACGGGGAGGTGCGCCTTTTGGAATTCCTTTGAGAAATAACTTGGTGTTCAGCTGCAAGGAGTGTTAACAGTTAACAGTCTAGCACATCGCCCTCTGCATCTGCCTCAGCTGTTTAGCTGAGGCCACGCATTGGGTGACCTCCACCTGATGGCAGAGCACTGCGAGGGTTGCTGGGACCCAAGCGTTTCTACCCAGAGCAGGACGCCTCTCACAGGCTGACTGGCCTGTCCCGGAGGCCTCCCTGCACCGTCCTGTGTCTTGCCCTGGGTCACCCACAGACTGCTGTGGTTGGGATGGGGTTTCTTGGGCCCCACCAAGTCTCATGTTGAAATGTGGGCCCCGTTGGTGGAGGTGGGCCTTGTGGGAGGTGTTTCGACCATGGGGTTGGACCCCTTTTCAGTGGCTTGGTACCTTTCTTTATGGAGTGAACCTGAAGAGTTATCTTGGTTCCTGGGATAACCCATTGTTAAAAATGGCCTGGTCCCATCCCCCCACCCTACCCCAGCACACAGCTTCCTCTCCTGCCATGTGATCTCTGCGCACGGGCTCCCCTTCACCTTGTGCCACGAGTGGAGACGGCCTGAAGACCACACCAGATGCACATGCTGGTGGCATGCTTCTTGTGCAGCCTGCGAACCGAGAGCCAAACAAACCTCTTTTCTGTATCAGTTACACAGCCTCAGGTATTCATTTACAGCAACACAGAAATGGACTAAAACACAGGTGTCACCCCTCAGTAAAGCTCTTGCACTCCTAACTTGGTCTCTGCATCTGTTTCCTGGAAGAATGATAGTGACACAAAGTTCCCAGCAAACGCCAAGCAGGAGTTAAACACACACACATCCCTGGATACATACGAGTTGCTCTGTGGAACATAAGGCATGATCTTAAAATCTGTAGCCAGGGAAGAAAAAACAGATTCCCTGTGAAGGAAGTCAGATTGACAGCAGATTTTGCAACAGCAACAACGAAGCCTGAAAAATAAAAAGTGCTGAGGAAGCATTGAGAATTCAATACCTTATAAATATTTTTCACTTTAGTGAGTATCAATTTGTTAGGCAACAGTTATTTTTGCTGGTGGAAAAAAAATCCCTTCATTTCACCCTAACGTTTGAGAAAATGTTAAGGAAAATGATTTTTTTTTAGTCGGAGTTTCACTCTGTCACCCAGGCTGGAGTGCAGCGGCACGTTCATGGCCACCACAACATCGACCTGCTGGGCTCAGACGATCTTTCTGCCTCAGCCTTCCAAGTAGCTGGAACTGCAGGCACACACCACCATGCCCAGCTAATTTTTTTTGAGTTGGAGTCTCACTCTGTCACCCAGGCTGGAGTGCAGTGGCATACTCACGGCCGTCGCAGCCTCGATCCACTGTGCTCAGGCGATCCTTCCACCTCAGCCTTCCAAGTAGCCGGAATTACAGGTGCGTGCTACCACACCCGGCTAATTTTTCTTTTATGGTAGAGATGAAGTCTCACCAATTTGCCTGGGCTGGTCTCAAACCCACGGTCTCAGACAATCCACCAAGCCTGACCTGTCTGGCAAGTTTTGTTCTTGAGTGAGTTTTCTGCCTCAGAACCTCTAAACAAAGAACTAGCCTACATTGGATGAAGTTCACATTCTTCCACAAGAATATAGATTTGTGAGCACACAGTGCTGTGGCCACTATCAGCTAGTAGCTAAGTTAGAAAAGAATAGTGAGGGCCAGGCAAAGTGGCTGACGCCTACAATCCCAGCACTGGGAGGCTGAGGTGAGAGAATTGCCTGAGCCCACGGGTTCGAGACCAGCCTGGGCAACTTGGTGAGACCTCATCTCTACAGTAAATCAAAAAATTAGCCGGGCTTGGTGGTGTGTGCCTGTAGTTCCAGCTACTTGGAAGGCTAAGGCAGAAGGATCACCTGAACCCAGCAGGTGAGGCTGTGGTGGCCGTGAGTGTGCCACTGCACTCTAGCCTGGGCGACAGTGAAACTCCAACTCAAAAAAATTTTTAAAATTAGCTTGGCATGGTGATGCGTGCCTGTAGTTCCAGCCCCTCGGAATGCTGAGTTGGAAGGATCACCTGAGCCCAGTAAGTCAAGGCTGCAGTGGCCATCAGCATGCCACTGCACTGCAGCCTGGGTGACAGAGTGAGACTACAATTCAAAAAAAAAATAGGCCAAGCATGGTGGCTCATGGATATAATCCCAGCACTTTGAAAGGCCAAGGGAGGAGGAGGATCGCTTGAGCCCAAAAGTTGGAGACCAGCCTGGGAAATATAGTGAGACCTCATCTTTACAAAAAAAATCAAAAAATTAGCTAGGCAGGTTGACTTGCACTTGTAGTCCCAGCTACACGGTAGGCTGAGGTGGGAGGATCCCCTGAGCCTAGGAGGTTGAGGCTGTTGTGTGCTGTGATCATGCCATAGAATTCCAGCCTGGGCAACAAAATGAGATCCTGATTCAAAAAATAAAAAATGAGCCGGGCACAGTGATGCAAGCCCATAATCCCAGCACTTTGGGAGGCCGAGACGAGAGGATTGCCTGATTGCCTGAGCCCACGGATTTAAGACCAGCCTGGATAATTTGGCAAGACCACCAGCTGGACTCGGTGGCTCAGCCTGTAATCCCGTGCCTTTGGGAGGCTGAGATGAGTGGATTGCCTGAGCCCGAGGGTTTGAGACCCGCCTGGGCAACTTGGCGAGACCTCATCTCTACAATAAAATAAAAAAATTAGCCGGGCGTGGTAGCGCGCGCCTGTAGTTCCAGCTACTTGGAAGGCTGAGGCGGAAGGATCGCCAGAACCCCAGCAGGTTGAGGCTGCGGTGCCCGGGAGCGGCCACTGCACTCCAGTCTGGGCGGCAGAGGGAGACTCCAACTCAAAAAAAAAAAAAAAAAACTGGGGGAGGGGGATGGGATTAATGGTCGCAAATATCTGTCTGGGGATGGGGAAACACCTCTTATCAGCAGGGTGCCTGAATGAAACATAATTGTACACCTAACCCTTAACTGTACCCCACAAAATCATAATAAAAAATATTGATTAAAAAAAAAAACTTGGCAAGACCTCATCTCTACAATAAATTAAAAAATT